GATGTGAATGTTCATTTTCTATTTCATGACATTAACTCTGTTTGGCTTGCATTGTGAGAACTAGAACCTTTCCTTCTATGCAAATACGCTCAAGGAACAATCTTTGTTCGATTACGAGTTATAAAGAAGAATAAATCATATATTCAACCGTAGAATTGGAAAGTATACAGAGGACAGGACAATAGTAAAAAACTGACCAAAGGTTGGGAATACTTTTGTCTATACACAAATTCGTACATAAACTACCTACGATAAGGAGGATCGAACCTCAAACGATTCAAGGCTATTGGTTCGTTCTCCACGTAAAAAACTTTTTGAGAGTTTTGACTAGTATAACAACAGTAAAAGTGGTGATGTTTTTGCTTCTCCTTGCACATATATTTCAAGATTCACCTTTCTTTTTTACTTTGCCAAGAGAGATGAAAGATTCTTATTTTTCCATTATTTCTACGCTTATATTCTTTTCTTTTCACTAGGAGACGAAATTGATCCAGTATATTTAAAAGAACAAGACCTTTACCAGTTTGGATAACAACCAAAATATCATTTAAGATTTGACTCTGCAAAGGAATCAGATAAATTGTTTTATCTTATTCTGCTGAATATTGCTTGCGAGTTGACGACATTTTTATTCTTTGTAGAGCAACTTGGATAAGAAAGCGTTTCTCTTCTTTTTCAAGTTTGACTTGTTCCTAGTAGAATTGAACATTCCTTCTATTGATAGACCCGTTTTTTATACGAAACGTTGGGTTGTCTTTGATTCTCGTTACCAATATCCAAAAGGAAGCCTCTACTAGTGTACCCATCAGGTTATATTTCGCAAAAGTCTTCTTTCAAGTGCCTAACGCAAGGAACTTTTGTATAGTGACTCACTTATTCAATGAGCTGATGGTTGAGAGTGGAAGAAGATTAGGACTCAACTGCAGCTGAACAAATCGTTCTTTGAATTTGCAGAGCTTTTAAAAGTTTTACTTTTTTTTATATTGGAAGAGATAATAGCTCTCTTGGAGTTTTATAGTTCCTAAAGCAGCTTTGTACTTTTTATAGTTTGCTTTCTTGTATATCTTTAAAAGTTGTGGTTTTTACAAAGTTTATCGTACAAGAGGATGCAGCAAAAGAATTTAAACCTAAGCAGTCATGTTTACCTTCAAAAACACCTCAAATGTATAGTCGATTACTGAGGAGAAATAATTCAACTATGATTCAAATGTTATGCAATGACAAGATACGAGAAGAGAGTCGCTAGAATAGACTCAATTCGACTGAATTGAATTTTTCTGGAAAATATCTTTTCTCCTCTTAACAGAATCCACAGTATCAAATGCCACTATTTTCAGAGGAGAAAGAGACAGGAGTTATTGACTCTTACAGAAATTGAGTATTGATGATACACTTGTGTGAGTCAATGTTGTTTCTGAGATTTGATAAAACCACGCGATATTTTTGATCCTTCTTTGCACATTTGTTTTGGTTTGTCTTTTGCTATCATCAACTTTTGTAGCTTTAGTGATAAGCTGCTACTTGTCATGATATCGTAAGAATGGAATTTGATGATTGCTGAAAATAAAGCAGTGCTGTGCTTGCGGGTTTCTGCATTTCTACTAAATAATATATTTCAACTGGAGCTTTTGAATAGATTACAGAAGAGAATGACTTGGTTCATACTCTAGTTCCGTGTTTCGAAATGAAGCAAAAGTGACGTGAAAACTGTTCCATAAAATACAGAAAATCTAGAGAGAGACGTCTATGGAACAAATTCTTCATGAACAATCTATATTTCTCGGAACTCTCATGACTACTCTCGAAAATTCTGAAAGAAACTTTCTTATCTATTTGAGAATGGGCCATGTTTAATAGCTTTATACTCTCAAAGAGCATAAAAAACTTGTGAAATAAACATTGGCTTCCTTCCAATCCTTCTTGTACCCTATGAGAGTTACCATTATATTAGCATACGAGAATAAGAATATCGATAGTTGAAAAAGCCATATTGATCGTTCTTCCATAGTTCAAGTCATCTCAGTCCAAGCCATAAAGGGTATGCCATAGTCATCAGTTGATAAAGAGAAGAAGTTGGATTGGTATCCTTTACTGTTTTCCTTGTTGTTGTTGTGACCGACAAACAGTCAATTGTTCATTTATTTATATTTGTACTCCGAAATAAACTGAAGGTTGTTTATTTTTTCTTTGGCGATGGCGAGTTTGGATGAAAAGTGGAAAGCTTTGGTCAAGTTTGAGTCTGTTGTGGTAGATCGTGAAAGAGATGTTGTTCGAGTGACAAAAGAACTGTATGATCTTCATAGCAACAGAGAACAACTCAGGGGTGTAACAAGTAGTTGCGACTATCGTTTGACGATACCATTTGCCCCTCATCTCTTTGGCTCGGGCAAGACTACGTTTTGTCATAACTATTTGGAGTTGGTGCGAAGGTTTGGTGAAACTTTTCTGTCGAAATTTGCTTCGGACCCTTTGAGAAGAACCTTTTTGGAGAAGCTGAAAAGGGCTTCATTGCTTTATGTGGATTTGAGGGGGTTGAAGCCAACTCGACCCATCGAGGAAAAACGCAACCTTGAGTGGGCTTTGTATTTCCGAATGATAGAAGCGTGTTGCACTTCTGTTGGACAAGAACCAGAGGATGAAGAAGTAGTATTTAAAGAATGCCGTACACGTCCCTATAAGTTAGTTAGAAAACTTCGTTCAATCTTAAACATTCCTTCTGATCAATATCTTTTGGTAACTTTTGATGAAGTTGGTGTCCTAGACGAAAGTCTCGACGAATTTCATTTCAAGAGAACCCATGACGGTAGAGTTCGACCTTACAATGACTTTTTCGGTATCATTAGTCAATTGTGCGAAGAACCCGACTTGTTTTTTATAGTTGTTGGGAAAAGCAAGGGTTTAAGTATTAAGAATTATGTGGCTTTTGGGCTATCAAGAGTTATACTACATTTTATCCCTTTATCACCTTTGGACGCTTGCAGTATCGTTGAATTCCTTGAAAGGAGTCTTCTAAAGACACCTACTCAAGTTCCGGTTTGTAATGTCTTATGTAGTTCTTCATTTTCAGTAAATGAATTGGCAGACTCATTATTGGAATGTACAGGTGGAGTTCCTGGTTTGTTGACTCGTGCAGTAAATATGCTTTTGAATTATATAATAGCAAGAAATCAGCCTTTCATATCGAAAGAAGAATGTTTGACTTGTATGAATGACTACGATTTCCGAATAATTTGTGCTGAACCATTTGTGGAACGAATATTGAATTTGGACGAGGATAGAAGAAGTGTTTTTGATTTACTTTTGATGATGGCTCTTTATCGTATACCGTTTCAAGTATATGATATATTGACCTCGGAGTCCTTTTTATATGATGCAGTCACTGAAATGGGACTATATCGATATCCTATTGACCAGAATACTTTTCAAGTCCTAATTCCGAAAATATTTGTTGTAATCTTCAAGAACGACCCTTCTATCTCTTCTTTGGAAAATATACTTCTTGGATCACTTGATGTCGAACCAGTAGATTGTTTCTTCTATTCAAAGTGTCGTGTATTTGAAGGAATTGTTGCTTTACGGCTAGTTTTGATGTTGTCTTCAAAGAATCGAAATGAGTTGAGGGAATTGTTGTGTCAATTGTCTCCGATATGGAAACAAATGAAACTTCCAATCAGTACAATATCACCTATTCACTATATCAAGTCTGTTGTTAGTTCTAGAGAAACAAGAAGTGAATCGAACAAGAGTCGAAGAACTTTTGCCAGTACTGAATGGAATAAGATTATTCGAGAGACACTTTATTTAGAGACTATTTACATTCCTTTGGACGCTACTTCTCATAGTCCTGATATTATATTCCAATTACAATCTCCTGTGGAACCCAAAGTTCTTACTGTTGGAGTTGCTTGTGAGGGACGTTGGAGGTCGGAAGGAATTGGTTGGTCAGATATTATAGATGAAGCCAAGAAATTTTTAGATTCTGTTTATGATCAAGTCTTATCCAGTGCAATGGATTATCATCATTGTATGCTTATTATCGTTGGTACAAAGTTATCATTGAATGTTTCTATATGAGTTGGGTAATCAGAGTCGTTGTTACTCCAGTGGAATGTTTATTGGAGGTGATTTGTTCAAAGTACCTGATAATTGTGAACTTGTTATTCTTTGTGAAAGAGATATGGAAATGCTGATTGACGAAGAAATATTGAATGGACTTGAAAGAGCATTTCATGTTTCTCATAATCCTACTTTTTGGGATTTTGGATTAGATTTACTTGATAGAATCCGTAACAGTTTCTTAAGTTGGCAATAGATTCTAACTCAGTCCTTTTCTTTGTTTTGAAGAGCAAATAAACTTTTTTTTGTATGTTTGAAACTTGGTTACATCTTACTTTTTTGCCTCTTTGGAGACCATACATTCTTTTCCGAAAAGAGTTTATTAGCTGGCTGACAGGGCTGGTTCACAGTAGTTCATTCTTATCTAGCCATTTTACATGGCTATGTAATTGCATAATACATTCTGAATATTATCAATACTAAATATACGACAATTGTGTTCAATAAGTTGAGTCATTTTTGGTGTCTATGACAATAGATTGGCTATTTTGAAGCAATTGTAGAACACTTTGTTGGGAAAGGCTCTCAAGTCATGAAAAAGTCTGTATTGGAGAAACAGAAAACTTTATATGACACGAAAACTCTATATTACACCAGAAAGAGCTTTGTCTTTGTTCCAATTGTTTTAGAATCTCACATTCTTTCTTCTCTTCTACTTTTGAATGGAATATTTGTTGAAATTGAAACGTTTCTAAAATGTTTCGATTTTTCAGCATAGTCTCACAATGGATGACTTCAAAAGGCTGTTGGATCAGTTTTTTACCAAAATAAATCGCTATGGAAGCTTGAGACACGTTGATAATGACTCAATTTGAGCAATGGAAAGTTATACAACAAAAAACTTTTTATTCAAAATAAAATGCAAGGCTTAAACTATGGTATTTTACTTCTCAACTTTGGAAACTGTGAAGGTTCTAAAACAAACCTTCTTCAGCCAGAGACCCGATGTGATTGGGTGAGCACCCAGGTTTCCATAACCAAGCATAAACTTTACCTTTCTGAAAGGTAGAATGAGTCTTCAACTAGATTAGGTTTGATAGAGCCACAAGTTGGCGGACAAAAGGTTGTAGATTGTTGTGCAAACTTCAAAGATGTAATGGTGATGGAACTTGGTTGAATCGATCGAAAGCTGCTTGGTTTTCATATTAACAGAATAAGGAATATTTTACTAGAATCTTTTGTTTGGAATTGTAAGTTTGTAATTCGTTGAACCCTTTAGAGGAGTGGTTATTTGACAAATAGTAAAGGAGAAAGAAATGTAGTCAGATTGAAAAGTTTTTGTAAATTCTGCACCATCAATCGTTTTCAAACAGTTATCTGTCGCAATGATTTAGACAAAAGGTATGTTTCTAGTACCTGGAAAATGTTGTTTGGAAGGAACTTTGCTGAGATGTGGAATGCCCTGGCAGATAGTATTGTTGCAAAAGATTACTATCACATATTCAAATAGGTAGTTAGTTATGTATTCTTATCACATTGACATTGTTGCAAGATATTGTATAATTCCTTTGCAGTATGTTGTCCACATAGGAATGCTTCATTTTGAGTCATTGGCTCTACACTCAAACGTACCTGACTTTGAGTCATCCAGAAACTTTCTTGTGACTACTACTCTCCTCAGGGAATGTTAGATTGAGTTTTTACTATGGCTACTCCGGTATATTTTGATATATGCAATATTTGGATAGTTAACAAACACAAAAAGTTATAACCTCAAACTTTGCCATTCATTGACTGGGTCTACACACAAGTGCCAAGGATTATATCGAGTCATTGAGTCAGTGAGTATTAGAAAACATACAAATAGGGACACAATTTACGGGGTAAAGTTTAGAGTACTGTTAAAGTCAAGGAGCTCATAGAGAGAGTATCTCAAACGGTTGCTGAAAGATTGAAAGTTGCAAAGATCGTCCCTTTCCAGATTCAACCCTATAGTTCTCTTCAAATGAAAGTCAACAGTGAAAAGTTGTAAGAGTATTCGTTAATAGCACTGTTGGATCATTTATGTTTCTAGTTTCCAAAAAAAGAAGAAGAAGCAGAGCAGTCTTTCTACTACAAGAGCTTAAGTTCCATTGTTTCCTAATTTTTTGTTTTAAAATTATCCATTCGAAGAACCCACCACTTGTCATCATAACAAGCTAAATGTCCATCGGCAATCTTACCTAATTATACAGTATTGAAAAGAATGAGACTGTATGCCGATTTGAACAACGATATGTGTACGATTGCAATCTTGCTTTAGCAATGTTATCTTTTTTTGCAAGAGTTTGCTAAATGGGAATGTTTTAAAATCATCTATAAAAAGAATTGTAAAAGGATTGCTCAGATGTTTCTGCTATGATGAGAAACACTGAAATGTAAACTCCTTTCTGTTATAATAGTTTTTTTTGGGCATAGAGAATTTACTGATTTTTGGTACTCTTATAAACCGAAAGTTTGTACACTTTTTAAACCTTTTGTCATTTGTCCATTTTTTGGAAATGTCTCTTTAACAGCTAAAATACTCCTATAGTCAGCATCACCTTGCTTTTTCGGTAGATACTTTTATCATTTATGTAAAACGATACAACAAAACGACTGGGTAAGATGACTATTGAAATTTTTCTTTTGGTAGAATTCGTGATAAATGAATTAACGATCATCTATAAGGGAATAGATATGAGACATTGAGACAAACTATATAAATACCTATCTACAAGGTGTATCAAAACAACAATGTCTAGGAAAATCAATCATAGCAAGGAGCAATCTATCTCTGGTCAGAATCTTCTTTAAACGCTCCGTCAACTTATTAACGAGCGTCCTAATTATCTAATAATATGACCCTTTTAAAGGAGCAATTCAAAGGCAAATAATAAAGACAACTATGACAGATGGGTAGAACTAGTCCCTGGATTTCTTTTGCATGCTATTCTGAGAAATGTCTTTTATGTTCCAAATCTGATCACAAACCTACAATTCGTCTCTTTAAAAAGAGTATCTTCCTAAATGAAAACGGACATAACTAAAGAGCCAAAAATAAAAGGAATAGGATTCGACTAAGAATCTAGTTAAGGTTCCTACAAACTATCTTGAAAATGTGAACCCAAGGGCTGATATCGACAAGAGCCTAAAGGACCAAGATTCTGACTGCAGATATGCACGAAAAATATTCTAAAACGACACTCAATAAAAATCTGCTGATTTACGAGAGAGATGAAAGGTTCACGACCTTGAGTTGTTTGGAATCCGTTGCCTTGGTTATCTCCTCGAAACACAAACAGCGAATTTCCACGGAATACCAGAGTTTAAACAACGATATCTCTTGAATGGAATATATAAAAGTAACAGAGGTATTCAATATTGGACAATCCAAAAAGACAATACAAGCCAAGTGGAGCTCAACGTCTCAAAGGAAAAGGTGGGACTGTTACAATAGAAACAATTCAAAGCTTGAAATATGTTCAAAGAGAGGTTTAGATTCCGAAATTCACG